GACAGAACATGTTGGTGGTGTATTGTAAGGGTGCAAACAACCAAGGAAGGACTAGGTGTAGCATGACAGAACATGTTGTTGGTGTATTGTAAGGATGCGAACAACCAGGGAAGGACTAGGTGTAGCATGACAGAACATGTTGTTGGTGTATTGTAAGGATGCGAACAACCAGGGAAGGACTAGGTGTAGCATGACAGAACATGTTGATGGTGTATTGTAAGGGTGCAAACAACCAAGGAAGGACTAGGTGTAGCATGACAGAACATGTTGGTGGTGTATTGTAAGGGTGCAACGAACCAGGGAAGGACTAGGTGTAGCATGACAGAACATGTTGGTGGTGTATTGTAAGGGTGCAAACAACCAAGGAAGGACTAGGTGTAGCATGACAGAACATGTTGGTGGTGTATTGTAAGGGTGCAAACAACCAGGGAAGGACTAGGTGTAGCATGACAGAACATGTTGATGGTGTATTGTAAGGGTGCAAACAACCAAGGATGGACTAGGTGTAGCATGACAGAACATGTTGGTGGTGTATTGTAAGGGTGCAAACAACCAGGGAAGGACTAGGTGTAGCATGACAGAACATGTTGCCGGTGTATTGTAAGGGTGCAAACAACCATGGAAGGGCTAGGTGTAGCATGACAGAACATGTTGGTGGTGTATTGTAAGGGTGCAAACAACCAGGGAAGGACTAGGTGTAGCATGACAGAACATGTTGTTGGTGTATTGTAAGGATGCGAACAACCAGGGAAGGACTAGGTGTAGCATGACAGAACATGTTGATGGTGTATTGTAAGGGTGCAAACAACCAAGGAAGGACTAGGTGTAGCATGACAGAACATGTTGGTGGTGTATTGTAAGGGTGCAACGAACCAGGGAAGGACTAGGTGTAGCATGACAGAACATGTTGGTGGTGTATTGTAAGGGTGCAAACAACCAAGGAAGGACTAGGTGTAGCATGACAGAACATGTTGGTGGTGTATTGTAAGGGTGCAAACAACCAGGGAAGGACTAGGTGTAGCATGACAGAACATGTTGATGGTGTATTGTAAGGGTGCAAACAACCAAGGATGGACTAGGTGTAGCATGACAGAACATGTTGCCGGTGTATTGTAAGGGTGCAAACAACCATGGAAGGGCTAGGTGTAGCATGACAGAACATGTTGGTGGTGTATTGTAAGGGTGCAAACAACCAGGGAAGGACTAGGTGTAGCATGACAGAACATGTTGGTGGTGTATTGTAAGGGTGCAAACAACAAGGGAAGGACTAGGCGTAGCATGACAGAACATGTTGGTGGTGTATTGTAAGGGTGCAAACAACCAGGGAAGGACTAGGTGTAGCATGACAGAACATCTTTGTGGTGTATTGTAAGTGTGCAAACAACCAGGGAAGTACTAGGTGTAGCATGACAGAACATGTTGATGGTGTATTGTAAGGGTGCAAACAACCAAGGAAGGACTAGGTGTAGCATGACAGAACATGTTGGTGGTGTATTGTAAGAGTGCAAACAACCGGGGAAGGACTAGGTGTAGCATGACAGAACATGTTGTTGGTGTATTGTAAGGGTGCAAACAACCAAGGAAGGACTAGGTGTAGCATGACAGAACATGTTGGTGGTGTATTGTAAGGGTGCAAACAACCAGGGAGGGACTAGGTGTAGCATGACAGAACATGTTGGTGGTGTATTGTAAGGGTGCAAACAACCAAGGAAGGACTAGGTGTAGCATGACAGAACATGTTGGTGGTGTATTGTAAGGGTGCAAACAACCAGGGAGGGACTAGGTGTAGCATGACAGAACATGTTGGTGGTGTATTGTAAGGGTGCAAACAACCAAGGAAGCACTAGGTGTAGCATGACAGAACATGTTTGTTGTGTATTGTAAGAGTGCAAACAACCAGGGAAGTACTAGGTGTAGCATGACAGAACATGTTCGTGGTGTATTGTAAGGGTGCAATCAACCAGGGAAGGACTAGGTGTAGCATGACAGAACATGTTGATGGTGTATTGTAAGGGTGCAAACAACCAGGGAGGGACTAGGTGTAGCATGACAGAACATGTTGGTGGTGTATTGTAAGGGTGCAAACAACCAAGGAAGCACTAGGTGTAGCATGACAGAACATGTTGGTGGTGTATTGTAAGGGTGCAAACAACCAGGGAAGGACTAGGTGTAGCATGACAGAACATGTTGGTGGTGTATTGTAAGAGTGCAAACAACCAGGGAAGTACTAGGTGTAGCCTGACAGAACATGTTCGTGGTGTATTGTAAGAGTGCAAACAACCAAGGAAGCACTAGGTGTAGCATGACAGAACATGTTCGTTGTGTATTGTAAGAGTGCAAACAACCAGGGAAGTACTAGGTGTAGCATGACAGAACATGTTGGTGGTGTATTGTAAGGGTGCAATCAACCAGGGAAGGACTAGGTGTAGCATGACAGAACATGTTGGTGATGTATTGTAAGGGTGCAAACAACCAGGGAAGGACTAGGTGTAGCATGACAGAACATGTTGGTGGTGTATTGTAAGAGTGCAAACAACCAAGGAAGGACTAGGTGTAGCATGACAGAACATGTTGCCGGTGTATTGTAAGGGTGCAAACAACCAAGGAAGCACAAGGTGTAGCATGACAGAAGATGTTGGTGGTGTATTGTAAGAGTGCAAACAACCAAGGAAGGACTAGGTGTAGCATGACAGAACATGTTGATGGTGTATTGTAAGAGTGCAAACAACCAAGGAAGGACTAGTTGTAGCATGACAGAACATGTTGATGGTGTATTGTAAGGGTGCAAACAACCAAGGAAGGACTAGGTGTAGCATGGCAGAACATGTTGATGGTGTATTGTAAGGGTGCAAACAACCAGGGAAGAACTAGGTGTAGCATGACAGAACATGTTGGTGGTGTATTGTAAGGGTGCAAACAACCAAGGAAGGACTAGGTGTAGCATGACAGAACATGTTGGTGGTGTATTGTAAGGGTGCAAACAACCAGGGAAGTACTAGGTGTAGCATGACAGAACATGTTGGTGGTGTATTGTAAGGGTGCAAACAACCAGGGAAGGACTAGGTGTAGCATGACAGAACATGTTGGTGGTGTATTGTAAGAGTGCAAACAACCAAGGAAGGACTAGGTGTAGCATGACAGAACATGTTGGTGGTGTATTGTAAGGGTGCAAACAACCAAGGGAGCACAAGGTGTAGCATGACAGAACATGTTCGTGGTGTATTGTAAGGGTGCAAACAACCAGGGAAGTACTAGGTGTAGCATGACAGAACATGTTGGTGGTGTATTGTAAGAGTGCAAACAACCAAGGGAGCACAAGGTGTAGCATGACAGAACATGTTGGTGGTGTATTGTAAGGGTGCAAAGAACCAAGGAAGCACTAGGTGTAGCATGACAGAACATGTTGGTGGTGTATTGTAAGAGTGCAAACAACCAAGGGAGCACAAGGTGTAGCATGACAGAACATGTTGGTGGTGTATTGTAAGGGTGCAAACAACCAAGGAAGGACTAGGTGTAGCATGACAGAACATGTTGGTGGTGTATTGTAAGAGTGCAAACAACCAAGGGAGCACAAGGTGTAGCATGACAGAACATGTTGTTGGTGTATTGTAAGAGTGCAAACAACCGGGGAAGGACTAGGTGTAGCATGACAGAACATGTTGGTGGTGTATTGTAAGAGTGCAAACAACCAAGGGAGCACAAGGTGTAGCATGACAGAACATTTTGGTGATGTATTGTAAGGGTGCAAACGCGGCGTAAAATCCACCTCACTCACTCACACATTATTAAGAGTTTATTACTGATATGGTTATGGTCTTCGGCGTGACGAGCGAACGCTTTAACCACTAGGCTACCCGATCGCCCTACACGGCGTTGTCATGAAACAGCTGTTCATTCCTGGCGAATCAAATAACGCCGCGAAATCGACGGCAGTATACATAGGGCAGTTGTGATTTGTGAACTCTCAAAGCTTAGCCGAGTGAGACAAGGATGTGGTGTATCCGCCTGTTCGCCCTTTTTAGTCTTGCAGGTGAGTGTGTTCATTCATATATAATTATATTTTCGTTGTGTTCATTCATATCTAATTATATTTTCGTTGTGTTCATTCATATATAATTATATTTTCGTTGTGTTCATTGATATATGATTATATTTTCGTTGTGTTCATTGATATATAATTATATTTTCGTTGTGTTCATTCATATATAATTATATTTTCGTTGTGTTCATTCATATATAATTATATTTTCGTTGTGTTCATTCATATATGATTATATTTTCGTTGTGTTCATTCATATATAATTATATTCTCGTTGTGTTCATTCATATATAATTATATTTTCGTTGTGTTCATTGTCATTCCTGCACTCTGATTAGCTGAATTGGTTTTAATACGCAATACATATTCCAACTACGCAGTATATATAAACATGTATACTCCGAAGGTGCTGGGGATAAATATTCCCTCATTTCGGGTTTAAATGTATGTTTTCATAACCTCCATTGGCCACTGTTAAAGTGACTTTCACCTCACCTCCGGTGGGATAGTATATGTATCCTGTGGTAGAAAGGATTTGATGGTTCTTTTGGGTGATTATTTGTTGATATCATTTCTATAAATAATCATTGGGGTTGTGTGTTTATTTATGCACATGCAACATCACTTGGATTATTGTTAATTCTTTTAAATAATTTTGATACCGTCTTTCTGTCTGCACTGCCTGGGCACCATCATCGCCAACCATACCTGTTGATTTTGTTTAGGTGTTACCTAGACTCATTCTCATTAAAATCAGATCTAAGTTCTCGCCTCCCCTCAACAAGGATCTGAGGACATCCCATTACGGGTCTCTAACTGTGACAAAACCTAATTTAGAAAACCTGGAATCCCCTCAACCGAATAACTTACAGAAGGAAATGAAGAAACCCAAATGTTACGACAGCAACAAAACTGACTTATTCCGCCAAAATATAAATGTTGAACAAATAGATAAACTCACCCAGTTAGCCCACGCAGCGCGTATCCAACAATGTGACCCACATTCCGTAAACAATCTTGAGACAGCATAGCGCACGTGCTAACTAACGCTGCACGTGCGACAGTTGGTGTAAGAAACTGTAGTGGTGAAGCTATGTACCGTAGTTAAACTGATAAACCATGGTTCGGAAATGAATGCAAAAAGGCAAGAAAAATGTTTAACAAAGCCAAACGTCGTTTAAAGAAAAATAATACAGGAAGAAATAAAAGTGTTTACCGACAGCATTCAAAAGCATACAAAAAATGCATGGACAAACATATACGAAATTATAATAACCAACTGACCGTAGCCTTTCGTAAAAATATCAAACAATCGCCAAAAGAATTTTGGAAAATATTAAATAAACAATGTATAACAAAAAAGAAGAAAAATACGGATTACTGAACACGATAACTGAACAACTGTAGGACCTAGGCTGACAAACACCAGTTGTTCACGACGGACAATAAGCTTCTAGACGATGTACAGTTGGTACCAATTGAAAGAATACTTGTTCCGTTTCAGTCATATGCACAGGTTATATACAGAAAAGGATCCTTGGTGGGTCCAGCGCCAGCTCTGCTGAGTTTCCGTATGCGGGAAGTTTACAGAAGTTGGTAAATGGTGAATGGATCCACATTTGCGGTTGCACACCATATTTCACATCAAAGGCATTGACTGCAGCACACTGCTTAGACGATGAGTAGGTGTAGATAAGACTCTCAACATTTCACCTAATGTGCAAGGCTTATAGCAGACATTGATACTTCAAACTTTCATTCAAACTTGAACAAAAGGAAAATTATAAAGTTTACAGAAATTATGTGAAAATGTCTTTTTTTTCTCAGAATTCGCAAAGCAAAGAACGCCGAAAGATGACGGGTTAATTATGATAATAATTAGTTCAATAGTTTTTCAGGCATCATGATGAGGCCACCCTGTAATGACTATGCGGCGGTTCTTTCTCTTGGGATTCTGTGTCAAGATTAGATATGTTTGCTTCAGCTGCAAAACAAGATATTCTTTTATTTAAAACTAAGAGTCTCAATATTTTATGAAACAGAACAACGATGTAATTTTTGTTGCAGGCAACTGTTACACTATAAAAGTTTTTTATTTCGATAAAAGTCCGCCAGTCTCATCCTATTTCTCATTTTTCAGTTATCTACTCATATAGTTTGCACAACTTTATTGCCTTTTATGTCCATTGGAATTTGTAAAGGCAGATATTCGAGACTTGTTGTTCTCAGGCGTTGACGTTTTATATTTACTGTGAGGATACTATTAACTAGGATTATGCTTTTCTTCCCAGCGACCCATCTGTCTACAGAGGAGTTTTTGGAACAGTGGATATCGCAAACAACGAAGGGTCCGTTCAGATTTCGGCATTGTCATTATTTACCCGGGTAAATTATTTACAATCTTATAATCTTCAATATAACAGGTGTAATTGTGGATATACGTGTACAATGGATATACATCTTTCTCCGTGGTGTGCATCTTCAATATGGGATAATGCTTGAAACTGTTTTAGGAACATTTAGGAAAGAGACAACGTTTATCTTAAGGTAAACTCATGGTTAATTATAACATATTTTCATAAAGCGAGAAGACCTTGTACGCGGTATATCACTCAGAGGCGAACGAAGAGGATCGTGTTCGTATTTATCCGATTGTGGTTTTGATGTGTTCTCTCTATGTCTTTACAATTAAAACCTAAGGTTTACTGGTGGTTATTTGGGTCGTAAATGGACACCATAGAATTCTGGAAAACCTTTTTTTTCCTTAGCGAAATCAATCCTCTCTCCAATCATAGATCTACGGTAGTTAAGATTACCCCAAGAGTTTGTATACGTCAAAATAGCATCGGTATTGTGTTTGTTATGTTCACAGTTAGTGTGTGTCTGTAGAACAACTTAGACCTTAATAATGTTTACAATTATCAATTCTCAGTCACCACATTTAAATCCGGATTGAAATTTTAATTTGTGAAGTAAGAATACGTAATGTTATAATTTTGAAACAAATATTAAAATTTAGTCTCTTCCCACAAAGCCTCTAAATCTGTGTTCATGCGGACAATGGTCTCCTGCTCTACGTTTGCATCAACGACCTAAGGTCGTGCGTTATCTTTCACGAGCATATGGTGCGGTCCGATTACACCAGCTTACGGTCTCACATACACATCCAGAATATCATCCATGTACCACACACCTGCCATCGTCCCCCACTGTAGGACATGGACATTGGTTCTTCCAGCTCTACTGATCCCATCCCAAACCATGACTAAGCCCACACCATAGCGGCCATGTTCGGCTACGTTGGAATCCTGAAATCTTTGTCTACGCCACACTCGGGCAAGATGATCTTTAAAGTTCAGATATTAACTCGATTCATTAGTGAAAAATACTGGATCCATGTCCTGGTCTATCCAATCGTCATCCCAATCCAAACGTGCCTGCCTGTGATGTCGGGTCAGTGGGATTCGAATGCAAGCCCTTTGTGACCGGAGACCAGGAACAAGGAGACGATTACGCCCTGTCTGAGTAGAAACGTTAAAGCCACGGGCGTTTCGAAGGTCATTTCTGAGTGTGGTGGCCGTCATGAAAGTGATGATTCACCTGCCTAATTCTTCTGTCGTCTTACGCCTTCTGAGACGCTGAGGGGGCATAAGTGCATTCAGCTGTTGCAGTCCTCTTTACAAAGTGTTGTTGTGCTCTCTGGTGATGATGTGCAACGATTCTGTCACGATAAATCCAAACACAGGTTTTCAAGCATCTCGTGCACACCACTACATGCCTCTTTCCGTTCATCGTGAAATTAAGGTCCCTCAGCTACCAATTCATTGTGTACTGGGCAATTTCAATCCTTAATTGTTGGGTGATTATCATCAACTTGATCCTCAGCAAACATTAAGCAGTATATATTTTCGATGCAGATTTTTTTTATCATCAACTTGAAACCTGACCCAACATTAAATAGTATATGTTCAATGCCATGTTATGAATTTTTTGTTTGTTTGTTGTTTAACGCCGCACTCAGCAATATTCATGCTATATGAAGGCGGTCTGTAAATAATCGAGTCTGGACGAGACAATGCGGCGATGGATATCATGAGCATCGATCCTCGCAATTGGGATATGATGACATGTATCAACCAAGTCAGCGAGCCTGACCACCCGATCCCGTTGGTCGCCTTTTACGACAAGCATGGGTTGCTGGAGACCTATGATACCCCTGATCTTCACGGGTCCCATGTTATGGTTGATACAGAAGTACGCTATGCTTTTGCAAAATGGCCTATAGTGGCGTCAGTTTTACTTGTTTAAACTGCACGTTCAGAATGGCCATCAACATCTTTGCTCAATATCAAATGCAACAACAATAGCGTGACGTCATTACAATGGTTTAAAACTGGTGGGACTAGTTCAAGCAACTGTGATTTATATTAATCAAACCCAACTCAGATGTTAGGATGTATCACAACCCAGCTGTTTATTATGTCCCTAATTACACAGAGAGTGTATCAATCCGACACAAGCTACCAACTACGATGTCTAGACATCGACCGGAAATAGGCCCCGAGAACGGTGCCTTTTTATCCCCCGCAGGCCAGAATAGCCGAAGGGGGATAATGTCGTGGCGCAGTCCGTCTGTCTGTCTGTCTGTCTGTCTGTCTGTCTGTCCCACAGAGGGTACTAAGCTTGTGAAATCAACTCCTCCTACAGTTTCCAGAGAATATCCCTGAAACTCTACACACAAGATGTCGACATGTTGATGATACGCATATCGCAGTCCCGTTTTATTTCGACTAATTCTGACAGAGTTACTGCCCCTGTTTTACGGAGCTTAATGAAATCTACTCCTCCTCCAGTTTCCAGAGAATATCCCTGACACTCTGCACACAAGATTTCGACATGTTTATGATACGCATATTGTTTCATTTCGTCAAATTTTGACACAGTAACTGCCCCTGTTTTACGGCGCTTCATTTGCCTAATTGTGAGAGAGGGTACTAAGCTTGTGAAATCAACTCCTCCTACAGTTAAAATGTGCACATGATTAATATATCCATATCACAGTCACGTTTCATTTCTTTTCATGTTGTCAGAGTAGTGTAGAACAACTTTGCCTCAGGTAACAACCATTATAAAACAATGTCATTTAGTCTCTGTTGTGAAAATGTCACAATATCTAACTTTAGTTAGAGTCCTAGTATAAGGCTTTTGTGGGTGAGCTACATCCTTATGGCATTAGCATTCAGACTGGATTACTCCCAACAAAATGTTCTGCCCAATTTGTTTCAAATGCAGTGCCATCTACTGTTGTTATTTCATAAAATACAAAGAAAATATAAACTCGTTAAAAATGCGGGGGATGTTGTGCTCTCAGAGCACTCTTGATAATCTAGGACCAAGGATTTATGAAAACCTTATTCATCTTCAAAGTATCAAAGCCAATTACACAGAATGCAGCAAGCAAAGCTCTGTGTATTATTAATAACCTTCACTTCAGATGGGATGTTCCCTGACGTTCTTCAGAAGAAGACGGTGACGATAACCAGCCAGATGTCCTGCAATGACGACTGGTCACTGCTAGATTTGACCATCGGCGGTGACAAACTGTGTGCAACAGCTGAAGGCTTCTCTGAGGTAATGTACGATACGAAAACTAAATACCAGGTTCACTCATTCTTAAAATGCATATAATTACAGTCACAGTGTAATCAATCACTCACTCCCTCTTCTTATATTCTAATCAAGTTAAATAACATCCTCAATTGGAAGACTATGTGCTGCAATACACACTCACCATGACAAATCAACTGTGCTTATGTGAAAAAATCGGGTATTCTTTAACCACTTTTGAAGTATAATTGGTCGCGCGTCGTGTTGATAGAGGAATCCTCTTTGCAGCTCTCCGGTAGTTTAACGTTAATGTCCCCTCGGGATTCCAAATGCGAAACTGATAGGTCGTGATATACTGGGTAAGTGAGTGAGTCTGTTTTAACGCTGCTGTGAACAGCAGCACTGAAGTTTAGTGTGAAAACAATATGTGAAATACTGGACTTCCTGGCAGATTGCATATATGTGAAATTAGGTGCGCTAGGACATTTAGGTAAGAAATATGCATTCCCACTGTGCTCCCCTCCTTGCTGATCTGGTTCGTTTTCAGCGATCCTTTCGGAACATTTTTACCGCTATTTTGACTTTGAGGTCTAATGGAATATGTTTCAGCTTATAATAGAGACTGGTTATTCAATGGTGTCGACGTATTACTTTTAATGCATATGAATGGTTATGCTCGGATTGGCAAACTAAAGATTGGGAATGGGAATTTGGTCAAGAAGTTTAAATATTGATTCGGAGATTTCGATGATCTGATATTGTTCAATAATAGTCAAACAGCCAATTTTCTTTCACTGATTTACACACCTGAACTAGAAATAAATGAGACCAGAGAAATTCGCCTCGACTCTTTCATTATAAATTAGATCTATACACAAACTAGAGTGACAAAACTGTCCTCAATTTTGTGTGACAAGAGGGGTGACTTCAACTTTCCAATAGTCAAGTTGTGTGGGTTGGTCGTGTACAGTGGTACCCCTGCTAAGCGAGCTGATTCTCGCTTTGTAATATCTGTATGTGCGTATGTGCATTTATGTAAATGTGTGTGTGTGTGTGTGTGTGTGTGTGTGTATGTATATATGTGCGTGCGTGCGTACGTGCGTGCGTGCGTGCGTGCGTGCGTGCGTGCATGCATGCATGTATGTATGTATGTATGCAAACATCTGCAATTATGTTCACAAAACATGTTTACTGGCTCTATCTACAATATTTAATCTCACACTGTAATATATATACTTAATACACCTTTGATAGAACTTACAATCTATTCTATTTGATGCATATGCATGTTTTGTTATAACATTTGAAACATATTAAAACTACCAATCGCTTAGAAAAATGTATTTGATAATAACTAATTATATAAGATTCGTATGAGTGTTTCTCGGTAATATAACGTCTCCCATTTGACACCTGCTATCTCACTTACCAGAAGGCTATAGTAGGGAATGCTCTGTAAGGCATTCCAAAATATAAGACAAATGAGGTCAACTTTTCGTTTATTCATCATACTGAACTAGACAGGCCGTGTTGATACAGGACATGGTTGTGGCGGTGATGCCCAGTTATTTAATGCCCTGCTAAGGAAATCAAGGTCCGATATTTAGAACCGATCCATCATTTACATACTGATATGTATGATCTGTTTCAGAGAGACAGCGGCGGACCATTGGTTTGTGGGGGGAGATTAGCTGGTCTGGCTTCCTTTGGTGGGTCATGTGCCGCCAAGGTTCTTCCAAATGTCTTCACAAATATAGGTTTCTTTTTCAGTTGGATACAAGGTCAATAAAAATCTATGTATAATCCTATTTATATTCTATTTTGGTTGGACAACCAGAGGATTCAATAAGAAACACGATTCACAAATAAAATATCAGATTTTACGCCTTGTTCACTGTGTCTTGATTTATTCACGACGATGCGATGCGGCGTTTAACAACATTTACTCACTCGCGCTAATGGCTCTCTTTAATCATCTAATCAGACAATTGAAATTTTAATCTTGAAATAACATAGAAATCTATAGCTTCTCTGACCTTAGAACCGCCTCCGTGTTCTTGTGGTAGAGCGTCCGCCCGGAGAGCGGAAGGTCCGGAGTTCGATCCCCGGCCGCGTTATACCAAAAGACGTTAAATGATGGTACTTGTTGTTACCCTGTCTGGCGCTCGGCATAAGGGGCTAAAACAAGGACTGGTCGGCTCGGAGTCAGTATACTGTGTCTGAGAGGGGTATTCACGTTAAACTGCGGCATGATATCTCAGTGAGCTAGCACTATAAATCGACGTCAGTCCGGACTAATACAAGCAGACACACAAACACGTGCATGCGCGTCGCTATATAAGTGCAATAATCTTGGACGCGACGTAAAACCTAATTTCACGCCACCTCACGTGACCTGTGGAAATGGGTGTGGAACGATATCATGTCCTTCAAATATATATATACACCTTACTGGTGGTTCTGCAGGAAGCTCTTCCCTAATAACTCCACTGTCCTCAAGCTTCACGCAGAGAGGTACCCTATCGCATTAAAGGTCTGATTTTAATAAGATTGCACCTCATTTTCATTAATGTAATCATGATCATTCAAAAGTGAAAGAAGCGTCCAACAAATGTCCAACAAATGTCCAACAGCTGCCTGATGCTCCTGTGTGGTTTCATTTCAAGTGGAGAAACAGCTTTCTGGAAAAGAGGCGTTCATTTTGTGAGCACATATTGAGATACAATATTCAGTTTTGTTTGTTTGTTTGTTTGTTTGTTTGTTTGTTGTGTAAGGCCGCACTTAACAATATTCCAGCTAGATGACGGCGGTCTGTAAATAATCGTGTCATATGGATTAATATGGACTCGTTCATGCATTTCATCGTATCCCAGTTGCGTAGATAGGTGCTCACTGGATTGTCTGGTCCACACCCGATTATTTGTTTGTTTGTTGTTTTACGCCGCACTCAGCAATATTCCAGCTATATGACGGCGGTCTGTAATTAATCGTGTCAGGACCAGACTATCCAGTGATTGACACCATGACCATCGATCCACGATATTGGGTTGGTTGGTTGGTTGGTGGGTTGCTGAAGAGCTAGTCCAGACTCGATTATAAAAAGACCGCCGTCAAAAAGCTGAAATATTGCTGAGTGTGGCGTTAAATAGCAAACAAACAAACAAACAAGTGACAGAACAAAGCATGTGATTCAAACGGCGATAGCCTGTTCGCGACGCACTACGTTTTTATTGCGTCCACAGATGAAAACTCTCCACTAGGCGGGAGCAAAGCATGTGCCGAGTTGAACAATCTGACCGGTAAGGTTTACAAACAAGAGATGACTGTCAAATAAATTTTCCCCAGTTTTCATAACCTGGTAGAACATATGATTTTCACCTAGTTTGCAAATGTAGAACCAATCCGATCACAACGTGCAAGATAATTCTTCTTGGAAATGGAACGTCTGTCGTAAATCCTTTTCCAATTCACTATAATGACATTACCACAGCCGCTGACACCGAAGAACATTGTAAGGTTTATTGTCATGGCCTCGTCCACACTGGAATTCGCAATGGAATGCAGTTTTGCAGTCCCACAGGCTGAAGTAACACAAAAGCCTGGTGCTCGACATGTGCTTTGCTATTTCAGTTCATCATACTTGTGCGCAAATAAAAGCTACAAAAGTCATTCCATATTATACGTCTCTTTTTTTAGAGTTGGAATTAGCTGCCAGGAGAGATGGATGCTCATTCTTCACACGCACGCACTAATATGTAGACAGTAATAACAGTGTCTTAAGTTGACTCCTAACAGCTTCAGTAGCAGAGCCATTCGTGATGTCATTTGATTGCGAAGTTAGTGACGTCATGGTAACAATGACGTCACAATGGTCTGCAAAGCATTGTGATGCAATTTCATTGCAGCGACATCTATAATGTAGATATCGCTTGATCCCACCCAAGCTATATAGCTCCTTACAGCTAGGATGTCATTCAAAAACGTAGCTACATAGCAGTACATGTACGTGCAGGATGTCAGTATACAACGTAGCTATATATACTGACACTTGTACACCCTGGATGATATAGTGTGGTACATGTATGCACAGGATGTCAATATACAACAAAGTTATATGTGAGTGAGTGAGTGAGTGTGGTTTTACGCCGCTTTTAGCAATATTCCAGCAATATCACGGCAGGGGACACCAGAAATGTCGGGATTCGAACCCAGGTCTTCGGCGTTACGAGCCGACCGTCCCTCAAAGTTATATGTAGTGTTACATATGCACACATGATGTCAGTGTACAACGTAGATATATATAGTGGTACATGCTTACCAACTGAAGTATGCCAGTATACAGTGTAGCTATATATTGTGGTACGTGTACACTTAGGATGTCAGCATACAACGTAGCTATATGTACACACTCAGGATGTCAGTAAGCAACAGATGTACACCCAAGGTGTCACTATGCAACTTAGGCATATATAGTGACAACATAGCTACATAGAAGCACATGTACAGGCAGGATCTCAGTATACAATGTAGCTATAAATAGTGACACAGTACATCCCTGATGTCAGTATATAACGTAGCTATAAAGAGTGACACATGCATGTACACCCAGGATGTCAGCATACAACGAAGTTATATGTAGTATTACATGTACACATAAGATGTCAGTGTACAAGGTAGATATAAATAGTGGTACATGCTAACCCTGTATGTCAGAAAATAGTGAAGCTATATATAGTGGTACGTGTTCACCTAGTATGTCAGTGTACAACATGGCTATATATAGTGACACATGTACACCCAGGATGTCAGTATGCAACGTAGCTATATATAGAGACACATGTATACACAGGATGTCAGTATACAATGCACCTATATATAGTGACATATTTACACGCATGATGTCAGTATACAACGTAGCGATACATAGTGACACATGCACACCCAGGATGTCAGTATACAACTTAGCTATATGTAGTGGTGCATGTACACCCAGGATGTCAGTATGCAACGTAGATATATATAGTCATACATGTATACACAGGATGTCAGTATATAATGTAGCTATATATAGTGACACATGTACACGAATGATGTCAGTATAGAACGTAGCTATATATTGTGACACATGTACACCCAGGATGTCAGTATGCAACGTAGCTATATATAGTGACACATGTAAACAAAGGATGTCAGTATACAATGTTGCTACATATAGTGACACATGTACACACAGGATATAAGTATAGAACATAGCTATATATAATGACACATGTACAACTATGATGTCAGTATACAACGTAGCTATATATAGTGGTACATGTACACACTGGATGTCAGTATACAACGTAGCTATATATAGTGGTACATGTACACCCAGGATGTTAGTATACAACGTTGCTATATATAGTGGTATATGTACACACAGGATGTCGATGTACAACTTAGGTATGTATAGTGACACATGTACACGAATGATGTCAGTATAGAACGTAGCTATATATTGTGACACATGTACACCCAGGATGTCAGTATGCAACGTAGCTATATATAGTGACACATGTAAACAAAGGATGTCAGTATACAATGTTGCTACATATAGTGACACATGTACACGCAGGATATAAGTATAAAACATAGCTATATATAATGACACTTGTACAACTACGATGTCAGTATACAACGTAGCTATATATAGTGGTACATGTACACACTGGATGTCAGTATACAACGTAGCTATATATAGTGGTACATGTACACCCAGGATGTCAGTATACAACGTTGCTATATATAGTGGTACATGTACACACAGGATGTCGATGTACAACTTAGGTATGTATAGTGAAACATGTAAACCAAAGATGTCAGTATACAATGTAGCTATATAGTGAAACATTTGCAGCTAGGATGTCAGTTTAGAACGTAGTTATACATAGTGACACATGTACACCCAGGATGTCTGTATACAACGTACCTATATATACTGACACATGTACACACAAGATTTCAATATACAATGCACCTATATAAAGTGACACATGTACACACAGGATGTCAGTATGCAACGTAGCTATATATAGTGACACATGTACACCCGTGATGTCAGTATGCAAAGGTAGCTATATAAAGTGACCCATGTACACACAGGATATCAATGTACAACGTAGCTATATAAAGGGACATATATACACCCAGGATGTCAGTATACAACATAGCTATTTATATTGTTACAAATACATAGGGGATTTCAGTATACAAGGTGGCTATTTTTAGTGGTACATGTACTTTGTATACACATGATGTCCGTATACAACAAAGCTGTATATAGTAACACATGTTCACACAAGATGTCAGTATACAACGTAGTTATACATACTGACACTCGTACACCTAGGAATTCAGAATATATTGAAGATATATATAGTGATGCATGTGCACCCAAGATGTCAGTATACAACGTAGTTATATGTAGTGACACATGTACACACAGGATGTCAGTATACAATGTAGCTGTATATAGTGACACATGTATACACACGATGTCAGTATACAACGTCGCTATATATAGTGATACATGTACATCCAGGATGTCATTATACACTGTAGTTATAAATAGTGACACATGTGCGCACAGGATGTGAATATGGTGAGACATGTACAGCCAGGATGTCAGTTTTCAACGTTTTTATACATAGTGACACATGTACACCAAGGATGTCAGTATACAACGTAGCTACATATAGTGACACATTTACACACAGGATTTCAATATACGATGCAGCTATATAAAGTGACACACGTACACACCGGATGTCAGTATGCAACGTATAGCTATATATAGTAGCACATGTAGACC